ATTATGTACAAACCAAAGTGGTCCTGCTGGCTGTCCCACTGCAGTATCGCCAACGTCAGGTCTGTTTAAGCTCTGCTTTCTGCTGTCCTGCTTATCTGACGAGCTTTTAATCCTTGTTGAGTTTCTGTTGTAATAGTTACGCTGCTAGTAGCACACATGCTGTTGGATGCTAAACTACTTTCAGTGTGCCCTGCGGTGGCAGGAGTGACTTTAGTTGAGATGTTGGTGTGGTGCAATGTATACATAGCAGCTGAAGTAGCTGTGGCAACAGGGCTTGTCAATATTTGTTGTGTGATCAGTGGTGATGGAAGATCTCGCCACAAATGTTATACTTTCCACTACAGCTAATTTTATTTCAGTAGCCTTCCCTTGTTTTAAAAATGAGCTGCAATACTGAACCCTGGCTGTACAGAAACATTTTAAAGAAGGAATTACTGCCGTGGAGGAGGAAGCTGACTTCCAGTGGGTGCAATACACATCCAGTGAACCATCCACTCGCTTCAAGCCACTGCAGCAACTGTTGTGTAAGACTTGAAAAAATACAAAGGTGTGAAAGCCAAATTTATTTCTTCTGATACAAATTCCATGCTGTCACTTAAGCATGAAAAGTACATTCAGAATATGGAAAATGTACTTCACAGTTCCTACAGAAGACGAGGCAAGTTTTTCAATACCAAGGAAGGAACTTCTGCTTTCCTAGCAAACTACGCAGCCCTTGCAAGAGCAGCACAAGCCTCAGACATCAAAATGAGGGAAATGTTATTTATCGGAAGGAAATTCGTTTCAAATAAAACATTTGGGGGTAAACACAGTATTTAAGAAAATAATGTGCTAAACTACCATGAGAGTAACTAAGAGTTGCTCGCTCTTTGTCTGAAAGAGTAAGGGTTTTATTTTTGAAGGAAGTCAGAAATAGGAAAGCAGGTCTTAAAATCTACAAAGACTGCTTTAATCAAGCAGTTTCTGACCTTTATTGTCTTACTACTTAAAATTTAAGTAGAATATTTAAATTCAGCAGAGGTCGCTCTAGTTTCACAGGAATGTAAGTTACAATATAGTTAGGAGAGTTAGACTGGATAATTTATGGAGTACTTTGGTTGTTTTTTAATGAATTCAGATTTATTTTCTCCACCTACTTTGCATGGATAAACTTGTCACACATCTTTAAGTAAAAAAAAAAGTTATAAAACATTTAACCTACATGAAACACTTTCATATGTCATAAATTATATCAATATTTAATATTTCTTACACAAAACCTGTAAATACTTTTCCCACTTCACAAGGCTTTATATGTTACTGCCTACTCAAAGCTAAACGATGGAGGATAGTATGAGGCAAATCATTAGTCATATCACATGTATAGTTTTCATACCCAGTGGAAATAAATATTTTGTTGGAAAAATTGCAAAAGTTTTTGGGTTTTTTTGTTGTTGTATAAAGTTTTTAACATTGCATTGGGATGACTATGAACAGGAAGCTTAAGAAGTTATCTGCAGTGAGCTATAGATTTATGATGCGTGGTAGCGATTACATTGTAACACAGCTAATCAAAGGATTTAAAGGCAAGGAGAGACTTGAAGAGGGCTTGTGAGCTTGAAGGCTAGTCTTTTTTCCCTCAAATGTCAATTGATCTAATGTTACCTTTCTCTAAACCTATAATCTTGTTTTTATCCTATATGGTAAGTATAAATGCACATGTATCTGGACTTTGCAATATGCAAGAAAACATCAACTAAACAATATGATTAAGAAAGTAGAGTGCCACTGGTCCATTCTGTTGCTAAATGTGTTTGAAGAAAAATTACAGAAATTAATTTCTCTGCTATGTTCTGTAAAGGAGAAAATGGGAAAGTTCCCCATCTCCTCTGTCACTGAAGTGCAGTTCAGCTGGGAAGTTTGCCCTGCAGCTTAGGTCTGTCCTTGCCTCTCTTGCCCCCAGTATTAGTATATGCATTATATGAAACCGGTGAAGCGTAGTCTTGTCCACAGTGAATTCTGGTGGGCCTACAGGAGCCTGCAGAAAAGACAGATGTCAATAATTTGTTGCTCGCAAATGTTTAAGTGAATGATACTTTTGTGAATCTCAGCATTAACGTAGGTGCAGATATGCCTAAATTTCAGACATTAAGACTAGGTGAGGAGCAATTGTTCCTCCAAAGGAAATGCTTGACTTGCCCTAATGAACCTGGAGGAAGACGGCTGCATTTGAGAATGCCAGCAGTTTATTCAGTCCAAGTCAGGTGTCTGCCTCCCTACATCGTATGGGGTGAGAGCAGTAAAATGCCAGACCTAAATCTGCTTGTGATCCAGTCAGCCCAGCCTTTTTTTGTCAATAGGCATGCAACAAGGCAGAGAGAGCTCTCATGTGAATGAAATTTGTTGGCAACAATTGCTGCCTTTCTTTTGTGTAACGATTTCTTCATTAGAAGCAGTGCTCAGCAAGTAGAAGATAAAGTAGAAGAGGCACTCAAACTTCCATGTTCCTATCGAACAGGTAGGAAGAAGTGGAAAAACTTACTTTACTCTTCAGTTTCCACAGGCTAATTTGGTGGCTCAAGACCTAAGGTTTTTTTTTTTTGATTCCTACTTCAGCAGTACATGCCTAGTCGTATTCCGGATGTTCCCCTGAAGGTGTAGTAGATGGCATAGACTTCATAACAAAGCACAAGCTCTTATTACACGCTGTAAACATGCAAAATATTGAAATGCACCTCTTAGTGGTATATTACGGTTTGAGTGTTTCAGCACAAAAATATATCACTCCTGCTGGCTCGGGTCAGTGAATGAAAATATGTACGATTCCTCATGCAATGGTGAGGTGCTCTTGGGCCTTGTCACATGTGAACATAACACTGAAAAAACATCTGTGGTGAACTCTATCTCTGCTGTGCTGTCCTGTGGTAGGATGAGAGTTCTCGTGAGCAGAAATATGTAATTCACTTAATACTTATGTGCCTCTAGTGTGTATTCTTTGTACAGGCATTTTGTATAAGAACTGTTTCATTTCCATGCACTCTGGAATCTTGTTTTGGTGCTTTGGACAGAGAAACCTTCACGGGGAAATATTTTCAACTGCCTGTGAACAGGAGAATGTACTTACATTTTGAAAAAACTTAGTGATGCTTTACTTCACAGAATATGCACGCGTATTTCTTCTCTAGTGTGTGGGAGGAATAACCCAAGAAATAACCAATTAAGGCTTTTATTTATAGTTCCTGTATTCCTTTGACAACCAAATTTCCTCATAACAATTTAGACAGCTGTAAAGGTCATTATATAAAGACATAAAGAATAAGGTAAGAATATGCAGGTAAATACCCTGATATATAAGTATTACACTTAGAGGTCAGTTTTGCAGGTCAACTTGAGTAGTCTGAGAGATCTCAAGAAAACGTTAAGTAAGTTCCACTGAACCCATCTTGTAATTAATTTTTTTCTTCCTTAGGTTCACAACATATAACTGTGCCTAAAATATTAATGATTTATACAGACTTACAATAGACATAGTAATCAGTTCTTGTATCACTAACTTGTATTTGATTTATGTGTTCATTGGAGCTTCAAACTGGAGTACCTGTACTCTCATAGTAAGTTAGCAATACTTGTTTTATCACAGAGACAAGATGTTCGTATACTTTTCTTCTGTAAGAAGATATTTGCTCTTTCAGTTTGAAAGAATCTTATGGGGAAAAAAAAACTTTTTTTTTTTTTCATTATGGAAATTACTTGCCCAGGCATCTCACTCCAAAACAAATGCTTTTCACATGAAGCACATTTTTACCAGGATGGCTATTTTTACAGTAGTAGTTTAGAGAAACAGTGATCTATATAATCCAGTAAGCATTATAGACCTTACAGACGTCTAAGATTTGTGCATAATACAAACAATTTTAAGACCTAGAAGTATTAGTTCATTAGCGTTTACTCCTCTTCAGCATCACCTGGACTGAAATATATTATTTCAGTGATATCAGAATGGTTCAAACGGCACATGCTGTAAAATTAGGCCAGTGTTTCTGTGTAATATGAAACACCATTTTCCTTAAAGTTAGTTGATTTTAGTTATGAACACTGTTTCTGTATCTTTTCTCACAGAAGTACATTTCAATGGAAGATGCTGATAGTAGTCACTTTTTTACTATCACTTTTACTTGTACTATTACAGTACAAGTACCTGACTGTTTTTTATGTTACATGTTGTTTTCCCCTGTATTTATAAGAACCGTATTTACATAGATAATCAGATGATACGTTGCACAACGCTGCGTAGGAGGTATTTTCTATGTGGCTATCTATTAAAAACTTTTTTGTGCATTACATTCTATTGGGTGTTTTTTCTCCAACATCCATAACTAAATATGAAACTAATAAATTAGTTATGTAAATACATTAAATATGAAACCTCATTTATAAAAAGAAGGATTTTGTCTTAGTTTGTATGTGATATGTAAGATAAAGTTGTGTCAATAGTTGTCACAAGATAATTCTGCAGTAGTATTTGCATGTCCTGTTTGTAAAAGAAACAAATGTATCCTTGATTCTGTGTTCAAATAAAACTTTTTACATGCATATAAATAGATTAATTGGGAAATACGTGCACAAGATCACTTTCAGAGATCAAAAACTTGGTCTGAGTTTATATTGTCATTCAGCTTCTGATCTGGCATGGTTTGTATTCCTGATATCCCAGTTTAAATAGTTGGGAAGATCTTGAATGTAAGAACAAGTAAAAATTGGAGTTCATTTGTAGCTATTTATATTGCTATGGGGTTTTTATTTTTCATGTAGTAATTAACTGAAGTGTCCTGCAAGCCCTCCTGGTACAGAGAAAAATCCATTCAGATGCTTGCATTATCACACAGTAGTTATAAAATAAATACTCAGAAAAATGCTCAATGTCTTTTCTGTGCGGGTGAATGGGGGGAATCTTGTATTCAAAATGTGCAAACGCTAATAGCAAGGGAGAAGTGGAAAAAGGTTTACCAAAACAAGATGCTCTTGTTGTAGCAGGCTTATTTTAATAAAGTAATTATGACATTATCATCCCTTCCTTGCCATAACATTTCTCCCTCAAAGTCCACCAGCCCATGTTTCCTGGCTCTCATGAGAATCCCAACAACCTTATCTGAAATACGAACGTATCTCTCGAAGAGTTCCCCAAAAGTGACCTGGATCTTGCCGTCGGGCCGTGGCTTAGCCATTGATTGAATGATGAAGCACATGTCTCTAATCTCCCGGTGGATGTGGGCCTCGGCTCTCTTGGCCCTTTCAGCAGTTTTGGTTCCTTCCTTTGGACGGCCGTACCCTTCATCTCCTTTGTGCAGGCGTGTGGACATGGCCAGCTCATGGTCAAATTCCTCGCTGAAGGGATTCAGCTTCTGCGTTATCATGTGCTGGTCGGCCCATTCTTGCCATCTGTCCTTCAGGCTGTTAACGGGGCTGTATTTCCTGTGGGCTTTGGTACTTGCTTCTTCGCTAAACCTGCTTGCACTGAAAGAAACAAAAAGGGCATTTGGGCTTTGCATTTCATTTCGTTACAGAAATTAATTACAGAGTTCTACTACTAATCTCTTCTATTAACTTGGTAACTGTGTTTTTCCAGACGAGATGCTAACCACCAGATGGCATGAGTTCACTACTTCTAAATTAGTTCTTTGGGGGCTTTTAGTCCATGTTCCAGTCTGCACTCAAAAGCAAATCCGCTGATCACAGCTTGATCTCATCTACGTTACCACTCTCCAGCCTAGATTTAGGCCCATTTTGACAAACTTTTGCCCAGAATGACTTACTGTTTCGCCCCCCTACAGCATTATGTTGCTGATTACCTGCACTTTCTATACCTTTGGTCAGTCATGCAGCTCCCCATTTCTGCCTGCCCCGATGTTATAGATGACAATAACTGTAAGTGTACAGACTGGGTCCTCAGCTATTCTTGGCTGAAAAGCAAAGGGTAGTGTCTATAAAAATCTGTCCCCTGCTATAGGTGTCAATGTTTAAAACAACAAAAATCTAATAGAGTGCAGTAGCTCTGCCTACACTTACGTATTTGAAGTATGGGTCTGAACAAGTATTGAAGTCCAAAATTCCTATTCCCACTGTCAGGGTATAAGCCTGAAAGAAACTTAGGGCTACTGAGGTTTGTGTCAAGGTCAAAGGATAAGGAAAGACCTTCAGAGGTCTTATTGATTTGTGTGTGTGTGTGTGCGCCCACAGCAACATCATATTGCTGGATGACTCTAGGCAGACAAATTGTTGATACTCTTTTCTCTAGTGGCCAATCTCACATGTTGTGTGGGAGCTATAGATAGTCTGAGCTAGCCTCTGTGCTGTCCACATCCTGTCATTGTGTCTGTACAGAGCTCGGCTAGGGAGTACGTTGTGCTGTGGTTGTGCCAAAGTAATTTGTTTTCTAATATTTGTACTCCCCAGAAGGCTGCTCTGAAACCTCCCCAGTAATGTCAGCTGAATATTAACAGTAACACCAGAGAACCAAAATACAGTTAGCAAAACCGTATAGAGGACTGTAAACCTGCAGAAAAATTTGTTTCCCTGCTGTTTGGGCATTCCTTTGTTTTCTACCAAGCTTGTTGAAAGAGAGAATAGGAATGATGGAGATGTCCCCAGTTCAGGTCTGTGCGCCAGAAGGATGGCAGTACTGGGCAGCACTATAGTGCTAGAGCAAGAAGTGCAGACACTTAGTGCCAGGGACAGAAGAAGGAGCAGGAGAGCAGGACCACTCTTTTAGCTGTGGGGTTGCCTTTAGCTTGGCTTAGCTATATTGAGAAACTGTATTTAAAAAGCTGGAAAATACTCTTGCCCAATCAATAAGGTGAAAAGCATCAGAAGAATCGAGCACATAGTGTTGCCAAGTAAATCCAACACATTCTTCTGTGGTGTGACTGCAGAGTAGGCAGTGTGTATGTACCTGTGGTTTTGTGCATGTAAATGATTAACAGGTAGGTGTTGGCAGGAAAGCATTAAAATATATCAGTGGCGTAAAGCTCCACAGTTTTGTTTCCTAACAATAAACCAAATCCTCCTGTATATAAGCGGTTGTCATACAGAGAAAGGGAAAGCTCTGATCCTTTGCCCCTTGCCCTGAATTGTGGCTTCATTGCCCAGAGGAACTGTGGGCACAGGGTTTGGTTACGCAAAGCAATTTGTTTCCTGAAGCCTACGGATCTCCCAAAAGCCATAGAAACCGTGTGTCACTGCAGTCCTAATTCCAGCTGAAGCTCAGATTGATTACTTCCCCCACTTTTCATGTAGGAAAGTACCAGTGAAGGAGGGGGGGAACCCTAAGTGAATCAAAATTGCTTAGAAGAACTGATACTAATGGTCTCAGTGGAGCTGATGAGCAGATCCCATCACAGAGAGCTTATCCCTCAGCCACAGCGAGCTGCTCCCCCTTCTCTCCAAGGGCCATGACACCTGAGAAAGTCCTGGAGATTCAATTCCCCAGTCCTGATAACAGCACTGTAAGTGCAGAAAATTACTTATGCCAGATTTCAGTGGAAGAGAAAGCTGTAAGTAGAGGGTGTTATTTCAATCATTTGTACCTCAGTAAATATGGCTAGTTGTTTTTTTCCTAGGTAGCAGCACTAAAATTAGATGTATGGGGAAAATATATGTAAAGTTTAACAGAAAGATAGCAATTTTGTTTCTACTATAGCATTTTAACATAAGCAATTTGTTTTAATTGAGGTTATTTACAGATAATATCAGCTGCAAATGTATCCTCTGTCCCCACTGTATGTGTGAAATCTTTGTTTTGAGGTCCTAACTTCTGTCAAAGTGCACATGGTCTCTCCCCAAAGCAGAGGCCACAAACTTTCAAGCTCTAGGTTACTGGAAAGCTTTTTTCAGTTTGGCCATTAACCATTTGCTCCTTGTGGTAGATGACTGGTCAGCTGTACAGCAAAGCATCATTCTAATCCCCAATCTGAATAGTTAAAATAACTGTGTGTGTTCGGACAGCTGTGCTAAAAAGTACCGTATGGTTGAAATCCATTACTATGCTAGTCATAGTCTCATGCTGATCATGGTAAATGCTCGCTAGTAGTGAGGTATAAAACCTGAGCAGTGGGAATGGTACAGCCTGCCTGTCTGTCTGCAGAAGGATTGTGAAGTCTTTTGCCATTTTCATCGGTGCTAGTCCCAGGTTTTCATTTCTGAAATAGCGTTTAGGATACAGTATGAACATACTGGCCCT